AGGTGTCCCTCAGTGTGTGTCCTTCCAGTGCCTGCAGCTGTGAGCTGGAGGTGCCAGTGGAAGGCGAGGGCTGGACTGTCCGCCTCCCCGGCTCTTGCGCCTCCTTCCCTCACAGTCCTGTGACTCCTTGGTCCGTAGCAGCTGTAGCTTTCTCCTTTCCCCACCCTAGCTTAGAATCGGAGCACAGCTGCCACCCTCTCCTGGAGAGAAAGCAGCCCAGGAGTGAGCAGTTCTCTGGAGACCAGCAGGGAGGTGGCAGTGAGCTCCCTTAATATCTGCTTTCACCATCACAGTCGTAAGATTCCCTAAAATGGTTTTCTGTCCTAGCAAGGAAATCATCAGTTCTTTACAACCAGGGACACTGACACCATCTCAGGGGACCAACGGTCTTTCGTATTCCTGTAAGGAATGTCAAGTGCCTTTTCTAGGCATCATTGCCTCTGCGGAAAGGGCAGTGGAGGAGGTGGCCTCAGAGTCCCAAAAGATAAGCCTAATCCAGCAATACTTATCCACGCAGGGCATGAGAATTTTATCTACAGGGTTTATCGCTATTTCCTCAACCTCACTACACCAAAAACTAATCTCTAAAATAAGCTTCCAGGGCCGGGGAGATAGCTCAGCGGCGTAAGTTCCCACCTGGCGAGCTCAAAGTCTCCAGTTCAATCCCCAGGACCTCAAAAATAAATAGATAAATTTTTTTTAAAAAAAATAAGCTTCAAAATATGAGAAGTAAAAGAAGAACCAAGTGGAGAAAGTCAGTGTCAAGAGGGCATAAAAATGAAAGCGATTTGTCCTTACCCACATTTGTGGTGAGCTAGTACACCAACCTACTCACACCAACCTGTGAGTCCAAGAACCATCAGTCTTGGAAGAGTGAGCGCATGAACAGCTTAAACTGCCCCCTCAGCAGCACAGCTTCAAATCAGAAAGGACACTGAGACAGAATAGTCTCAACTACTTACCTGAGAGGGGTATCAGGCCAGACTGCTCCGGGGAAACCTGTCCCCCAAGCCTTGTGAGTGGGAGCCATGCCAACCACACCTAGCTGGCTGATGAGGCACTGCTTTTTAGGGGAGGCAGAGGACAAAGCTTTCCAATAAGAAATTAATTAATTAATTTAAAAAAACAGAGAACACAGATCTTGCTTACTTCCTAACGGGAATCACGGTTAATAAAAGCTGGGGCGGCGGCAGGGAGAGTTGCAAATGGAGAGATGAGGAAGAAATAAGAACTGGGGTCTCACCCCCTTATAAATCCTGTGAGTCCCTAAAGCTTTTACTATCCACGCAGGGTTGTTACAGTATTAAATTCAAGAATGAACTTGTGCACAAAGGAGGCAGTTATGAAGAGTGTTTATTGAAGGTATATGATAAGAAAAAGCTCCCAGAGGGGGGCAAAAAAAGAGGTTGCCAGAGTGTGCTTTCTGCCTAGCGTCTCCCCCACCCCGGGGCCAGGACTATAGCTGTGTGCCACCGTGCCCGGCTTCTTGCTGGGCTTCCACAGGAGCTTGGAGGAGTGAAGCCCTTGTGTCTTCTCCCTTGCTGCTGCCATAAACAGTCTCCCGCGCACTGGGCAGGGCTGCATCTGGCTTTGCTGAACTCCCGTAGACCCGTCTGTTAGTTTCATGACAGAATGTCTGCGAGTCTGTGTTTTCTGTCACATTAAAACCTAGGTCTGTGTGTCTGTTTTCAGCAAGATGGGCCCGAGATCCTGTGAGTCTCCCTTGAGAAGCATTCTGATTTTCTTTTTTTGAGAAAAGGTCTCACACTGTACTGCAGGCTGGCCTTGAATTTACTTTGCAGCCCAGGCTGTGCTCTGATTCACGGCCATCCTCCTGCCTTAGCTTCCTTAGTAGCTAAAGTTATAGGTGTATGTTGCTGTACCTGGTTGTTGCTACTGCTACCTCTTCCTCCTACCCTCTTCCCTCTCCCTCTCCCTCCCCCTCTCCCACTCTCCCTCTGTCTCTCCCACTCTTCCTCTCCCTCTCCCTCTCTCCCTCTCCCTCCCCCTCTCCCTCCCCCTCTCCCACTCTCCCTCTGTCTCTCCCACTCTTCCTCTCCCTCTCCCTCTCTCCCTCTCCCTCCCCCTCTCCCTCCCCCTCTCCCACTCTTCCTCTCCCTCTCCCTCTCTCCCTCTCCCTCCCCCTCTCCCACTCTCCCTCTGTCTCTCCCACTCTTCCTCTCCCTCTCCCTCTCTCTGTCTCCCTCCCCCTCCCTCTCCCCCTCTCCCTCCCCCTCTCCCTCTCCCTCTCCCACTCTCCCTCCGTCTCTCCCACTCTTCCTCTCCCTCTCCCTCTCTCTGTCTCCCTCCCCCTCCCTCTCCCCCTCTCCCTCCCCCTCTCCCTCCCCCCCCCCCTCACCCTCTCCCTCTCCCTCTCTCTCTCCCTCTCCTTCTCCCTCTCCAAGAGTGATATATTCCAGGTGGGTCTTAAACTCACTGTGTAAATGTATTAAATTTTTTTAAAACTTTTTTTTTTTTTTTTTGGCGGAACTGGGGATTGAACTCAGGTCCTTGTACTTGCCAGGGAAGCGCTTATTCCACTGAGCCATCTCCCCGGCCCCTGTATTAATTATTGAAACTGTCCTACTACTCGGTTTTGAAACTGTCTCATTGCTATTTGTTTCTCAATAAAATAAATAAATAAATAAACTCACTGTGTAGCTCTGCCTAGACTCTCACACATCTAGGTGGTTAGGTCTCTGCCTAAAGACAGAATTTGCCTTTAGAATTTGAATATTGATTGTCCACGATGTTCTAATATGACCTAAAGAGAAATACTAGAAGTAGTTCATGCAGTAGCCATAAACTGTTCAAGTACTCTTTGTCTGGTCAAGAATTTTGCTGTAAGATTAAGGAGAACAAAGTAAAAAAGGGATGTGAGTTACCGTAACCACCTCCCTGTGTTCTCTTTACATTCCTGACCTTAGTGATCTGTATGATTTGAGTCAACCCTGAACTCTATGTGCGTGCTGATTTCTTTGTAAGGCTGACCAGTCCTGCTCCATCTTCAGCCCTGTCCCTTATGTGCTGGCTATTTATATTTATTTATTTATTTATTTATTTATTTATTTATTGGCAGAACCGGGGATTGAACTCAGGCCCTTGTGCTTGCCAGGCAAGTGCTTATTCTACTGAGCCATCTCCCCGGTCCCATGTGCTGGCTATTTATAAGCTAGTAGGTAAACAATCTCTCACGGTGGCAAGCACTGGAAGTTAATCCAAAGCCTAATCAGGAATGATTGCTTAAGACCAGGAATTCCATGCTAGGAAATACAACACAGTATACATCATTTATAAAGTAAATGACATATAGATGGCAAGATAGGATATTCAAATATAGATGTTATTAAAAATCTGATTTAAAAATAGGCTAAAACCCATGATAATGGGAAAGTAGGGTTTTGTTTTCCTTTGCTTTGCTTTGCTTTGCTTTGCTTTCTGCGGTACTAGGGATTGAACTCAGGATCTTGCGCTTGCCAGGCAAGCACCTTTCTACTGAGCTAACTCCCTAGCCCCTAAAAACCATGATAAAGAAAATCAAATTTAGACTTTTTATTTGAAAACTTACTGCAATGGTATAGTATCCAAAATGACATGGTACTTTAAAAAAAAAATCACATTCAGACCAAGGGAAGATATTGAGCACGTAGAATAAGTGCCCATAACATTGGTATTTGGTGATTGACAAGAATGTCAGTGTCACTCAATGACTGAAGAGAAATCTTTTCAAAATGAACTGGAATAATTAAATAACCACATGCAAGAGAATGATATTTTCGAATCCTACTATGCACTATCTTAAAAAAAAATTAACTGACATAGATGAGTGAGTTACATATTAGTGCAAATTCCATTTTCTTTTTTAAAAAGACTATTAGGAGAAAATGTAAGGGTAAATATTCATGACCTCCAACTGGACGGAAACATTTTAGACAGAAGTCTCCTTTTGTCCTCCAGCGGGCGACACTAGGACACGTAGCCAAAACTCAGGAAATGAATTTCCAGGAACATGAACTTGATGTGGGTTCAGGAAGAGGAGTTGCATCCTGATTTTCATCCATTTTCACAACAGAAACTGCTATGTCATTGCCATGTGCATCCTCTGTCCCCTCACCCCACGGGACTCTGCAGACCCTGCTCTTCGAAGCATCCCTGGAAATCCCCATCCTAGTAACCCTCGTGTGAATGGCGGTGAGGTGACCATTAAGAGTCAACAAGGCAAAAGGACAGAAGAGGACGACTGCCCACCCGCTCAGCCAACACACACTGACAACAAAGTAATGCCTAAAACTTTCTTCAAAAGATAACGCAGCTTACAGCCATCTGACCTCCCACCAGGAGAGTCCACTTCCCACAGCATACTGGTCGCCTCCCACTAAACCTTCAGGACCTTCAGATCTTCTGTGACAACTGTGTGTGGTTCAGTAAGTTGGTGACAGTAGACATGGAGGATAGGTCTCCCTCCCCAGCCCTCACTCAGCTGGGTCCTTTCGGCCTCTGCAGCCATCTCTGCCTTTTTCGGGCTAGAAGTGAATCCCATCTACCCAGAATATTTCAAGCACAGAGAAGGCTGAGTGCTAAACTGGTTTCTCTGTCACAAAGGGAACACCCCTGAATTTGAGATCCCCACATGTTCCCTGTGGTGTTGACAGCCCCAAGGTTAAGACACAGCCCAGGAGTGTAGCAGGCGATCTTATCACCCTTTGAAGGACAAGCACCCCTTCTCCTTTATTCCTATAAGTATGGTCTGGATCCTGAAAGATCACACAGGGCAGGGAAAAATGGACAGGAGGCAGCCCTGAGAGGGAGGAAACAGAAGTGCCCTGGACAGACGCCACCCCCCAGGCAATGTGACCCTGGGAAGTGCTCCTGCCCTGGAAGGAGGCTGAGCTCAGAGGGCGGAAGAAAAGCAGACCTGGTGCACCCGAGAAGCCTTGCACCAGAGGGCTTCAAGAGACAAAGCTCTTCTCATAGAAAGGACAGAGCAAGTAACAGAGACAATGAAGCCATCCGCTGGCCTTTCTAGCAGAAGATGCATTCCTTGGCAGGGGCTCCTGCTCACAGGTAAGAGGTGACAATTTCCTGGAAGTGGGTAGGGGTGTATGTGAGCACAGAGCCTGGATGGGGAGGGTAAGACCCCGGGAGCAGGCACAGGCTTCTGTTTGGACCCTGAGGTAGGGGACACAAAAGAGGGACAGACGTGTCTGTAGCAGAAAACTCAGGGAACTGGAATTGATAAAGAAGAGAAAAAGTTCCACTGTATTCAATTCTAAGTTGATCCTTAGAGGACACTGTACTGTGAAATTGATACTAAAGCTCTGTCCATGAGACTTTTCATATAAAAAAGCAACTGAAGCATTAACCATTGTTCATCAGCAAGCTCAGAATTTGCCTCCGTCCCCCCAAAATCTGTACAAACAGGGCCCTAGGAGCCCGCACACCCACAGGTGTCTGAGCCTATTCCAGGCACTGGCCTCCAACAGAGCTCAGGCTGGTCCCTGTCCTCACAGAGCTTTTGTCCTAGTGATCCAGAAGGACAGATCAGCAAGCACATCCAGAAGGGGAGGGGAGGGGAGGTATTCGCAAGAGCTGTGAGCAGAGCAGAGAAAGCGAGGAGCGAGGAGCGGTGGTGCGCACAGGCCTGGGGCTGGGCAGGGATCTCCCCAGGATGTCCTGAATGCGGGCAGAGGCCTGAGGGCAGTAAGGAGCAAGCTATGCTGACATCGAGGAAAGAGTGCTCTGGACAGGGGGAGCGACAAGTTCAGGGGGCATGAAAGCACCCAGCAGAGAACACATATTGACACGTACATCTACACAAATGCTACCAACACACCCGCACACACACAGGCACACACGCATGCACGCACAATACCCAGAGACCGAGGACCCCAATAGTGAAATCTCAATGTTGATGGACCTCTTCCCTCCCTCCTAGCCTTGCTGTTCACCTTCTGGAACCCGCCCACCTCTGCCCACCTCACCATTGAATCGGTGCCCTTCATCGCTGCGGAAGGCACTCAGGTTCTCCTACTTGTCCACGGCCTGCCAGAGCATCTTCGACTCTGCAGCTGGTACAGAGGGGCAGATATAGCCAACAGCCACCGAATCGCCACATATGAGCCAGCCACTCAGAAAGTCACGCCAAGCTCTGCACACAGCGGTCGTGAAACCATATACCCAAACGGAACCCTGCTAATCCAGAACGTCACCCAGGAAGACGGTGGATTCTACACACTACTCACTATAAATACGTTTTATCAGATACAGCAAGCCTTGGGACAGATGCATGTATACCGTGAGTGACTTTCCGTGACCTCTGGATGAAGGGGTGGGGTTCACACTACTACTACACACACACACATACACACGCGCACACGCACGCGGACTATCAGGCCTGCACTGCACTCCCTCCGCCTCTGCGTTCTGTCCCCATATTAAAGTTTGAGATAGATTTTAATGGACCAGAGCCCCTCAACTGACTCCATGCTCAGAACAATCTGAGGAGAGACTAGCCCAGGACCATCAGGCTCACCCCAGTCCCCACACTCTCCCCCATCAACAGGGAACTTCATGTCCTGGATAAAGGGCTTCGGGAGGAAAGTTGTAGAGTTCTGCTCCAAGAATTTTCTGCCCCAGACCTTTATCACAAGCCCCTGACTGCAGGTGACCCTGACGGACTCATGACCAGGAATGGACTTGGGTTTCCTCATCAGGGCTGACAAGGAGCAGCAATTGTCGTGCTGTCCTGACCTCAAAGCTCCTGGAACTGACCACCAGCAGAGCTCAGCCTTGACAGCCCCATCTGGGTGAGGCCAGACCTAGTCCTTCACCTGCTGTTTGTCCCTAGGACATCTGCCATCTCCCTTGGTGGGCTGAGGAGACTGCATAGGGAGGAACAGGGACAGAAGAGAGGAGAGTTTTCTAGCAGCACCTGACCCAACTGGGATCAGGCCCAGTATTCCCCTTGGGGACAAACTATCATAGATGCTAGATTTGGGGGCAGAGCCTCTTTATCAAGATTTAGGGCATATGGCTGTGAATATTTAAAGATGATACAGAAATAACCCGGTGAGCCAGATACTACACACATCTCACAATTTTACTAAAAATGCCTGAATCACAAGGGAGTACAGTTACTGAATCCATGTCACACAGACAACAGATTGCGTTTCAAGGGCACAAACTGTTTAAGCTATAACTATCATTTCTACCCTTAGAAGACATATGCGGAATCCAAAATCAGTCATTGGATCAGCTTTTCTTTCTTAAGCATTAGCATCTTGGAGCGAGCACTGGAGAATGTTTGGTCTGAGAAGCAGCAGAAAGATACAATCATGTTATATTCTGGGACTAAATCACATACATCAGCTCTGTTCCAGTAAGAGAACTTCTGGGTGTCTCCGCTGAGCCGGCTCACCCACACCCGTCCTCACTACCCTGAAATCACATGCTCTGTGGGGTGCGGGGTTGTCAGGAACTGAAGTGTAGAGCACAGGCGTTTGCTTTTCCCACTGCTCACTAGACTGCAACTGGTACAGGACCCAGTGTGCAACCAACCCCAATCATTGTGTGATGAAGGAGAGAAGGAATAGAATGAGTGAATGAGTGAGCGAGTGAACGAATGAGTGAATGAATGAGTGACCTGGCATTCTTCAGAGACTGAACTCCACCCAGAGTCCTACAGGAGGATCCGACCACACCTAGTTCTTGTCCCTTCTAGGCTGAGGCCTTGTTCCATCAGTCTGACCTCTTACTCCTAAGGCCACCAGTGAGTCACATCACATGATGACCCTGGGGCTTCTAGGCTGGGGTGGGGGTTCAGTGTCATGATGCCGCTTCATTTCTGAGGCAGCATGGGGCTCTCGGTCTCTGGAGTCTTTGAAGTCGCAGCAACCACACTGCTCACTACCATGGGCATTTCTGGCTCTGTCTGCTCCTTTTCTGCCCCGCATGGGACCACATGCGCCCTGCACAGCTGGCTGCACCTTTGTCTGCTTGGACTGAAGTCTGGGCAACCTGCCCCCTTCCTAATGTCCAGGGGCAAACTAAGTGCCCCAGGGAACACTAAAGGGCGAAGAAAGTTAAAGCCGCTGCCCTCTGCCAGGTTCCATCTGGAGCCAATGTCCCCTACTGTGAACAGGTCTCCACTGTGTCCCCATTCAAAGGTCTTTCTTGCTTTGATGCCAACTCACAGAACAGGCTATCAGACAGGGTCAGGGACTCCTCTGCCAGCTCTGTACACTGATTCAGCCAGGGATCAAAGACAACAGAACAGAGAGGCAAGTGCGCAGGCCCATCCCGCTCCCCCAGCTTCACCCACATCGCCATGCGGGGCTCACAGCCCTTCCCTGTCTCCCAGAGCTTCCCCCAGAGAGCTCCCCCAGCAGGTGTGTTCCGCTTCACACGCACGTGTGTCCTTGTGCCGACTCTGGCATTGCAGGGCGGGTCCTCACACACGGTGAGGTGTCTCGGCGTCTGTCTAGATGAATCTAATAAAACTCCAGTTGTGTTTCCTGCGGAAGGAAGGCATCGTTTCACAGGCCCAAGTTAGGTTCCCTCCTCTTGGCCTCACTTTCTGTAGCTACTGGGGACAGAGTTTTTCTAAATATAGTACCACAAGGAAATGTTTCTCTGAATTCCGTACTGTCCCTTGTTTCATACAACAGTGACAACTCAGTTGTCCCAACTGACCGGCTCTGTCCTCCCACCAGGACTCAGGTCTCTTCCTGTTCAGTGAGTCACTGGTTTAAAAACAACTTGGCCTGATTGTGGTGTCTAGATAAATGTTCCTTGCAGGAATGGGTCTTGGATTCTGCACCTCCATAACGTTGCTCACATATTGAAGAAGTGCAATCTCGAATTTCTATCCCAGGCCTGTCCAGCACACATAGACCATGGGTGAAGGCCAGAGTTTCAGCACATTTATACTCCTCTCTTTCCACCCGTCACTTGTCCAGTGTATTTTAGGAAAAGACCCACATGCTCTTCACCTGCCCTTTGCTGTGGGAGGACAAAGATTAAAAAACCAAGCCAAAGGTATAATTTTTCCACAAGACCATTCTATCCTCACTCATTCCTTGGATTCATACTCTTTCTTTTATGTGTCACTGGCTCATATCAGTGACCATCAAATGCAAACTGACCGCTGAGCGAGATGTTGGGCCTGCTCCTGGTCCCCGTGTGTGGGATTTCTGCTCATGTACCAAGCCAGGCTAAGAGGCCTTGCTGTTTAACACCAATGGGATGCTCCATCATGACCCATCTCTAGGACAGCCTGGCGGAGCAAAGCTGCAGAGAAGACACACCTCGGCTTTGCAAGCAAGGGCTGAGAGAAGAGGGTCTCAGCATGTCATGACCCAAGGCAAACCAGGAAGCTGACAATGGGCCTAGGAGAGGGAGGGAGAGTCTGACTCCTACTCCTGGGTGTGTCTATGGTCAAACACTGTGGCTTCTTCTACGTGTGAGAAAACCTGTGCTTCTCCCAAACATGGCCCACATGGTCCCACATCCTCTGAGCCCTCAGATCCTTGTGTGTCTGCCTGGAAGATGCTCCCCTTCTGGTTTTTTGAGGACTCAGGTTGCCTGGGAGGTGAGAAAAACAGGGATCACAGGTACCTCAGAGCCCAACCCTTTCTCTGTTGTCTACCTAGGGATACTACCCAAACCCTTCATCATAAGCAACAACTCCAAACCCGTGGAAGGTAAGGACTCTGTATCACTAAGGTGTAAACCCAAGATTCAGAACACAACTTACCTGTGGTGGAAAAATGGTGAGAACCTCCCAGACAGTGACGACCTGAAGCTGTCGGAGCACAACAGTACCCTCACTTTACTCCATGTAACAAGGGATGACATCGGACCCTATGAGTGTGGAACGTGGAACCCACTGAGTGCCAACCGGAGTGAGCCAGTGACACTGAATGTCCTCTGTGAGTAATTTCTATTCCTCCCGGGCCTCTGCTGACAGTTCAACACACAGGGCAAGAGACCAGGATAGGCAATCCCCCCTCACAGGTTAGTACACAGACCCTACTCCTAGAAACCAGATTGGCCGCGTTTAGGCCCAGGCTTGGGCCAAGGAGAGGGGTGGAAGTGCTGCTTCTGTCTGGACAAACTCAGGATTGGCCACCTGTGATAGGGAAATGAGCTGTATGGCTCAGGTTCAGTGAATGCTGGGGGTTATACTTGGAGAGTGTGTGTGCGCACGCGCATGCACGCGTACGTGCATGCATATGCATGAGTGTGTGCGCGCATGCGCATCCATGCATATACGTGAGTCAGTGCGTGCATGCGCGAGTGCGTGCACATGCACTGTACACACTAAGCGAGTCTTCTACCATTAAGCTAAGCAATTAGCTTGGTTGGTGCTTTTAAAACAAAACTGTGCCAAGGCTCAGGGTGTCTCAGCCTGCTACAAGCCACAAGCTTCCCTTGAACCCTGACGATAGCCCATGAATTTATTCTGTTTACTCTAGATGGTCCAGATACTCCCACCATATGGCCCTTGAGCTCTTATTTCCATTCCGGGACCAGCCTCAGCTTCTCCTGTGACACAGCCTCTAAGCCACCTGCCAAGTTTACCTGGCTTTTCAACGGGAGGATCTTGAAATCTACGCACGAGTTCATTATCCCCAAAATCACCAAAAGTGATAGCGGATACTATACCTGCCTTGTCCATAATTCTGCCACGCACCTCAGTAGGACCACAGTCAAGAATATCATTGTCCTTGGTAAGTGAACGCTGAGGCATCAGGACTCAACTCTGGGGCAGTCTTTGGTTTTTTAGAGAGAGCACGGCAAGTGTGATTCCCACCCTGCGTACACAGACAGACGCGAGTCCAATCCTCTCCTGACCCTAATACTATATCTTTGTTTTCCAGCTCTGATTTTTTTTATGGCTCAGAAACTTCTGGCCTAGAAATGGTAGGGTTGGGGCCGGGGAGATAGCTCAGTGGAAAAAGCGCTTGCATGGCAAGTGCAAGGACCTGAGTTCAATCCCCGGTTCCACAAAAAAAGAAAAAAGAAAAGAAAAGAAATGGTAGGGTTGAGGGAAGGGGTTTCCCCAGCCCAGGAAAGCCCGAGACTCCTCCCTGAGCTACAAGGAACACACAAGAATTTGAAACACACTCACGTTCTTTTCCCCTAAGAGAGAGAAGGAAACTCTGCCCGCCCCTCGGGCCGCCCCCCCGCACTCCGCAGTGCCTCCCCCCCCCCCCCCCCCCGGGAAGAGACATTCAGAGCTGTGCTCTAGGCTCGTGAGACAAAGGGCTCTGCTGTAGTTTTCTCTGTGATGGGGAAGTAGGTACACTGGGTGTCCTGAAGGTCTTGATTCTGTCCCGTGGACACCTGAGGCTCCCAGGGGCAGGAAATGTGAAAAGTGAGACTGGGGACAGACACCTTTGTGTCCTGGCACTGAAGTCCAGCTGTTTGAGGTGGAGGACAAAACCACAGGTGATGCGCTGTGGAGAGCAGTGAGTGTCACACAGTTGGGGACGCGGGGACTTCACTGTGGAGTCCTTGTGGGAGGATGGGTAGTGCCCAAGAGTACACCTGGGAGAAGGTGAGAGGAGCAGCCCCTGTGGGCACTTAGGTCACCTGTCTTTAGAGATTTCCTTCACTGTGACATTCCCTCCAGGATCAGGAAATACATCTCCTCTTTTTTTTTTTTTTTTCAATTTTATCATTAAGAATTTATTTACTTCTTTTCATAATTTTATTGATAAACAAATAGCAATGAGACAGTTTCAGATCAAATCGCTAGGACAGTTTCAATAATTAACACACTGCATACATTCTTCTTAGTGGTTAATTGCTGTACAAGATGCGGACTTGAGATCCTATTTACAAACACCATTAGAACAAATCATTCTATTCATTAAGAGAATATAACTATATATCTATCCTAACCACTTTGAATACACAGATACAAAATGGACATTCATCTGTATACCCTTTTTTTGGTTAAGTTCCGTTATTTGAATATTATAGGTGTGTAAACTCAGCAAAATATTCTAAAAGAGTCCAGTAGCCCATAATAGCATTGGGTTTTCTGTTTAACTGGCAATGTCAGAAATTGTTGACCTGAGTCCCCCACAGCTCAACATAACAGCATGGCTTTACTTCCTATATTTCGTCTTCATACTTTTCTACTGGATGGCTAAGACCAAGGTAAAGCAGGACCTGTGCAACAAGAGTTGTAGCTTTTGGGTCTGATAAGGTCAGTGAAGTCCCCTCAGGATTTATCCTGAGATCCTGTACCTCAGATTGTAGAACCTTTGTCAGTGTCAGCCATGTAGATGAGTCACGGCCATTGCTTGGAAGAATTTATTTACTCTTAGTAAAGAGCACCAACACACAATTACGTTTCTTCTTTAATAGAGAAATCCTTTAGTTTTGAAGCTCGCTAAGTCATAAGATCACAATATAGTCATGTCCTAGCGATGATTTTTTTACAAGTACATGCTTTTCACTGCCTCACGTAATTCTGCCTGGCCCTAGCATGGGTGAAGCTAATAAATCCTCCTTCCCTAACATCCAAGAAAGTATATACCAGCAAAGAAGGCCTCCTCTATTATGAAGGGTCCTCCAAGAAGCATGTATTAAAAACTGAGTCCCAGGGACCTGAGGTGGGGCCCTGCGGAAGAAGAGCAGGTGCTGAGGGCTCCGCGCTCGGGAGTGGAGCCGTGCTACACAGGCATGGGTGCCTGGGGACACGGTGACTTGGCCCTTCTGTGGCTCCCACTGTCTTCCCATGTGATGGTTTTTGCTATGTTACAACACAGCACAGAGGCCCTCGCCACATGCACTCCTTGGTCTTGGATGTGCCAGGCTTCAGAACTGTAAGAAATAAACTTTTGTTTTCATAAATTCCCCAATCAGGTGTTCACCTGTAACAGGACAGAATGAACTAGGAAAGAAAAAAACCCAAGAGCACCTGGGGGTAATATTACACATGACCATGAGGTCCTGGTCGCGTGGGCTGAGAAGAGCTCTCGCAGATGGATCCTAAGAGATGTCCAGGCAACTGGCTGAGGGAGTGGAAGAAAAGAAGGAAGGGAAGAGCAAAAGGGCACGATAGTTAAAACCGTTACACAAGCGCTGGCCAGGTAGCTCAGTGGACTAAAGCCCCTGCTTAGAGGTTCAATCCTGGAGTGCCGGGCTGACCCCGCACACTGAGATGGCGATTGAGACTGGGCGTGGTGGCGCACACCTGTAATCCCAGTGCTTGGAAGGCTGAAAACAGAAGAATCACTGTGAGTCCAGTCTACGTAGTGAGACCCTGTAGACCCTGTAGACCCTGTACCAACAAAATAAAATAAAAAACAGGTATAGTACTAATTTCTCTCAGCTCACTGAAAAGATAGGTTTCTGCTAACATTGTTTGGACAAGTAAATGCTGATATCTTATACTCTGAGTTACTAATTTAAAGATGACAGTATGCAACATATTAACCATTGTTACCCTCCTGTCATAGTTTCTTGGAATTTTGGTTATTTTTCTTTGGTTTTTGTTTCTTTTTCTTTAAAATAAATTTTAAGAGAGAGATGTCCAGGGGACACTCAGAGGTCACTAAGGGCAATGTGGTATCAGAGGGATGCACAATCCTCTCTGTACAGATTCTCGCCCGATTAGAAATCTACAGCCTCTGCAGAAAATCGGGGCCAGCCTCCAGGTCCCTCTCGCTCACTTGGGGCCCTGAGAGCTGACTGAGATCTCCGAGGAAGAATCTCAGCTCAGTCTCCTCTTTTTGTCCACAGATCCAGTGGCAAAGCCTTCCATTAACACCAACAACACCATAGTTAAAGAAGAGGACTCCATGGCCCTGGCCTGCCTCTCAGGTGACACTGGAATCTCTATCCGGTGGATCTTCAATGACCAACACTTGCAGCTCACAGAGAGCATGAAGCTGTCCCAGAACGGCAGCATCCTCACCATCAACCCTGTCAAGCGACAAGATGCTGGGGAGTATCGGTGTGAGGTCTCCAACCCCATCAGTTCCAGCAGAAGTAACCCCCTCATCCTGGATTTGAAAAATGATGTACCCACGGCCTCTCCTGATAATTAATAAACTCTGCATTGGAAGTTTTTTTCCCAGGGAAATGGCATTTATCTGCACTAATGGGTGTAGAGCTGCTGTGACTAATCAGTGAATGGAAATGGAATTTTCCTAGAAGATTTGTAGAGATACAATAAATTCCCCAAAGCAGAAAATGACATTAGCATTATTCTTTTTTGTATGTATCACAAACATGTACCCAGAGAAGGAAGGGGATCCGAAAATTATTCTTGGTCCTCACATCTCAGTCAACACCAGGTCATCAAGTTGCACCCTTTCTATGGAAGTGATGCCGTGTTCTGTTGGGAGAAGGACACCTGGTCTGAGACCAGTGGGCATCCCGTCCTGGGAAGACACAGTCCTTCTGGCATGTTGGCCTCATCATCACCTCATAAATATGCTCTCAGGTACACCTGTTCAGGGGAAGATGAAGCCAGACTGACCCAGACTAGAGATGAACCACAGAACCCTTCACACATATACCCCCATGTTCCATGTGGTACCAGAGCTACAAACCTCACCCTCCTGGGCCAGAAAACCCAACCCCTACATAGGGAGTGATCTGCAGCCCCATAAGACACAGGAGATTCCTGGACATACTTGATGTCTCTGGAAAGGAATCATTTCTGCAGAGGGCCTGCTTCCGTCCTCCCTAAGAGCTGCGGTTCTTCGTCTGGGATTTCTGTGTCTTCAGGTGTTCCAGAAATGCTGTACCACTGAATCCCAGGTGGAAGGAATCTGCTCTTAAGTTTCCCTGAGCCTTTTGAGTGGCAGCTGGGCACAGGTGGGCACTGCAGTACACAGACACAGAGGGTGCCGTCAGGAATATTACACTGCAGGCCTGCAAGGTGTCCCTGGTGTCACTGGCTGGTGGGTTGACATTTCTCAAGGTCCCAGGCCGCAGGTCCTCTAACCACACTACCGACATGTTTGGCTCCATCCTCTCCATCCACATCTGTCCCCTGTTTCCCTTTGGTGTCCCTGCCCTTATTATGAGCTATGTCTTGCCACACAGAGCTAGCTCTAAGGAGGAAGCTCATCCAGAGAGGGGAAAAGACGGAGGATGCCCTGGGAAAGAAAAACACTAGTGTTGCCCACCAGCAGGTGATGGGGGCAAGAGCAGGAAGCCCCTCCTGGAGCTGAGCTCTCTCTGTGTCCTTGGGCTCCCCTAGGCTCCAGGTCTCTGTCACCATCTGAGGGTTTCTGGGGAATCTATGTGGGTCTGGGAAGTGGTGATGGAATGAGATTGAGTGACTGTTGATGCAGAGAAAGAGAATTCTGGGGACAGAGCAGGATCTGGCTTCTCCCTTAAGAGACAGATCTATGGGACAATGAAAGATGGAGAAAGTGGGCCCACAGGGATCCCCACTGGTTTCTCTTCAAAGAACACACCCTGGAGTCACTGGGGTACCTTTGCTCACCCCAGCTCTGTGGGCACTGCCAGCCCCTTCTTGCCCTGCCTTGGCCATTCTCTGGGTTGATTTTCAGGTGCCTCTGGGTAGTCCTGGTGTGGCTTTGTCCTAAGGAAGTTCTGTATGGAGGAGCTGTGTCTCCTGAACACATTCCTGAGAGACACAGCAGGAAGGTCCTCGGCTCTAGCAGAGGGTGGCAGGAGCATCAGAGAACTCTAGTCTCTCACCATGGGGCAAGAGATGCTGGCCACGGGTTCCCATGATAAATG